CCATTGCCCTTTTTAAAGGTGTGCTGCACCTTGCAAGCAACAAAAGAGTCCATACAATGGAAAATGTCTGAGAGAAGCACTGTAGTTGAACCTTTCCCAGTGTTCCTTGCTTGAATCATTTGGATAGCCATGAGTGAATCCATTTCCAAGATCAAATGAGTGACACCCAACTCAAAAGCTAATTGTAAACCATCTCAACAGCCCCAAAGCTCAGCCATATAAATGGATTGGGGTCTAATATTGACAACAAATCCATAGAGCCAACGCTCTCCATGATCGCGAATAAGGCCATTAACATTGGGCAAAGATGGATTATTATGCATAATAAAAAGAACTAAGTCTTGAACCTTTACTTAGTGAGTCAACAATTCTTAGTCTAAAGTCAATAGTGAACTATAGCTTGAATTGTGACCCCATTGAAAGATACAAGAATTGTATCACACACATAATGATTTGAATGTTGAGTTTTTCACACAGCTAGTGCATTCTAGCCTTGCACATGATCTCGATTTTCATGGGTGATATAAAAAATTACCCATCGAATTTTCATAGAAGCAATCTCACTTCAATGCCAACATAGGTGAAATTTGTCAAGGATGCGCCTATAACTAAGACACCCCACTCAATGAGCTACAAATTTCATTAAAAATATAAAACTCAACTCTCAATTCATTATGGAATAATTGCATTCTCACCTTAGGAATGAGACTGAAAATTTTTCTATTAAATATTGATGCATCTTTTAACAACGACTTCTCTATGATTCGTTTTTCCCATTCAAAACCCAATTCTTAGAATTCAAGTTGGATATCCTCATAAGAAGTTCTACATTATTGGTCTTAAATCCCATTCCCCTCTATGTACACTAGACCTTGCACTATGATCATAGTTTTTCCTCCAACCTTTCCCTTTACCAAAGGCCTAGTTGGTGGTCAAGTGGGTAATGAAGAGATTTAACCCTTTTTTTTTTTCTCACTTTTTCACATCAATCCACATATCTACTAACTCATAAAATTCACATTTATATTTCTCAAATTCTCAATTCATGGTACCACAATTTTGATATCAAATTGAGCTAGTGAACCACCATTTTCTTTCCATACATGTCAAAACATGTATTTAAGAATTTTTAACTCAAACATCATTGTATCTTGTTGTACAATAGGAATGTCCATCAAAGCATATCCCTTCTATTCAAGTAAAGTGCCTTATTTTTAATTTTTTTTTTCATTATACATCATTATACCATAATTGTGTAATAAAAATGTATATCTCATTTATTTTGTTAAACACCATTATAACTTATGTATAATAGGAATGCTATGCAAAATTTCAATTAAGCACCATTAGTCTCATCACCAATAATAATACATAGGGACATCACAATCCCCCACATTGGGAGCATCTCAAATATGTAATTCTCACATTTCTCAAATAATTGAGTTTAAAGAAAAACTCTTTTTCTCATGAGATTTTCATAACAACATTACCTCATCTCACACTTTCTTGCTTCAAATGGCTCCTTGGTCACACAAGTTTAAAAAATTTAACTTACGTTTCCAAAATATATCAACCCAAATTTCATGTCTATTTTTTCAAAAATATTGCATGGAACAATTTAGGTAACTCTCTTTTCTAGCTTTTTCACTCAAGTTCTCAAATTTTTATCTATTTCATTAAAGAACTCAATAATATTATCAATTAAATTCACAAATTTATTCATAAATTTGTTTCTTTCATAGCTATTGGACATGAACCAAATATTTACCATATGCATTAAGAGCAAACAACTAGCTCATTAATCCCATAAATATATATAGCAATTAGCATTTGGTAGTTTTTTTTATTATAATTATTACTATTAAAGCAGCTAATAATAATCATGGTATGAAATGGCCATTGCATGAGATTGCTAAAATACACAAGAATTACATATTTTTATGGTTATGGTTCAATCAAGCCATAGTGTAATCAAATGCTATAGTGTATTTAACAATAAGATCACGTATTAAAACATAACAATCATACATTTAAGCAATCAAGTTGAGAAGCACAGATAATTCGGCCACAACAGAAACTTGGCCGCATATTCTAATAGGTGTTTACATGTAAGAGGGCTTAGAATATTTGGTGAATCAAAGCATGGTCAAATGTATAGATGAACTAATTAGACATTCTATACATACCCATTTGTGATCTTAATATCTCTCAAGTATAATTAATCTCAAGGAAACATACCTTAAGTTCTAAAAAGAGTTAGACAAACCAAATATACTTACTTTCCATACAGAGGCGCAAAATTGAATTGTCTTAAAATTGTTGTTCCTTGAACATTCTTCTCCATCTCCACCTCATGCTATTGTTGTGTCTCGGTCACAAGATTAAATAAAAATAATAATTAGTGAACTTATCAAAAAATATTAATAAGAAATTATCATTAAAATAAGCCTGAAAAGCTTATTTACTTTAAGGCAATTCATGTCCGACAATTCATGCCTCTGTGTAGAGTAGATCGACTGATGTAGCAGAGATATACATAACATGTCGCCCCTAGAATGTCACAGCTTTATAATTACACTCTATGAATTTGCGTTACTCATAGAGTCACCTAACTCAAAACATCCTTCTCTATCCAAGAATATTTAGAAGATAAAGTAAAGTAAGAAAAATAGAAGAATGTGAAGGAACACACTTAGTTGAGCAAAAAGACATGTTCTACTTGTATGACTCATGGTTATGTAACTCCCATTTCTAGGTTAATTATAGGAATAAATTGGGCAATTATTATAAAATAATGTACCCTTAAATAAGACAATTAATCTACAACGATTAGTTTGACCAA